AAAATCAACTAGCTGCATCAACTGTGAATTTCACTGTACACTGAGTATATCTCAACTTTTTAAATGTATTAAGTACTTTTAATGCATTAATACCTTTAATACGTAAGTACATTTAATACTGGAGTGGGTAGCCACTCCAGTATTTTTGCCTAGAGAATTCTATGGACAGAGAAGCCTTGGTGAGCTACAGTTCATGGAGTTGCAAAGAGTCAGACATGATTGAGTGACTAACACTTCCACTTTTTTCAAGTGANGCTGGCCAGGCTCCTCTGTCCATGGGATTCTCCAGGCAAGAATACTGGAGTGGGTTGCCATTTCCTTCTCCAGGGGATCTTCCCAACCCAGAGACTGAACCCAGGTCTCCTGCATTTCAGGCAGATTCTTTACCGTCTGAGCCACCAGGGGAGCTATTAACTGGACTACCAGCTTACAATCATCTGTAAAAGAAAAATCAGTTCTGCTTATTGGACAGGCTGTATTTTTCAAAGAAAATATGAGAGACCAATACCTTACTGATAGGTCATTCTGACTTTGGTAGCTTCTCTGAAATGACCCAAACTCCAATTAAGAATAATCAAAGGTATTACATGAGACAACAATACATGCTTCCTGCACAGACCACGGAAGTACCCAAGAGATCACCTGCATAAGAAGTTAATGGAGAAAGGGAAAGATGTTATTAAAAAATGAGGACAGGTCGGAATCCATGTTTTTGGTTAAAAACCCAGGATTACCTGATTGCCTTCCTTTCCAACTTAACCATAGAGAAGAGAATTTCTATTAGGAGAGATCCTAGAGGTCAGCCTGTAGAAGTCCTTCATTACCCTAATGAGAAAACTGGACATGTAACCAAGTTCAGTCTGCCTCCATCACCTTCCCCAGACTGCACAGTGAGTGGTCACTGCCCACCCTGGCGGGTCTCCTGCTAACCAGCCTCAGCACCCCAGCAACCCGTGGCTATGTGTGCCGTTCCATTTCCTCAGACTGGTTCTCCTGACAAAACACTCTTCCAGTCTCCTTCCCCCTGTTAACCCAGGCTCATTCTTTAAGACTTAATCTAGCTATGACCCCTCCCAGATGCCTTCCTTAACCCCTTCTTATCCTCATCAGTGTAGCCCCAAGTGTTAGTTACACCTTCTCTGCTTTCCCAGAGTACCTCATCCGATCTTCCTCCATCCTTCTTCCCACCATTCAAATACTGAATGTCCACTCTGGGCCTGGGGGCTAATGCTGGGACACAGAGAGACAGAGACATCACTTCTACCCTCAACGAGCAGTACTTCAGATGCCACTGAAATGCCTGTTGATCCATCTATTCTCACTGAAAGACAAGTAACCATTTTTGCAGCCCCAGAACCTGAAAGGGTATATGCCATACAGAGGCTCAGTAGCTCATACAGAGGCTCAATAAAAGGCTCAGTAGCTTTTACTATAAAAATCAGTTCAAATTCTTCTTGTTTTAATAAGCGAAGTGACCCTTGAGCAAAATTTAATCTTTTAAAATAATGGAAGGTATATTTACCTTCTTTTAATTATCCATGCTTCTCTCAGTTTTATGTGTCAAAGCATGCTCATTTACAATTGTTGCCAGCTTTGATTTCTATCTTTACTTCATAGCATATCACCAAAGAGTATGTTATCCTATGACCAAAGGCTAGTTTAGTAGATTCTGGGAAAGCAGGTAGTATGCAAAATCAGGATGGTATATTCCCCAATACAACACCAGTTCAACATTTTGAATACTTCTAGGCTAAAAATTATAGCCAATTATGAAAATATGATCATATACTTAAAATACCTTCACTATTATTTGATGAATTAATTGCTCACTTACTCAATAAGCATATATGTGCCAGGGACCTGAGATGAATAAGACCTAGTCCAGGGCATCAACAACCTCTTCATCTTTAGAAAGGTCAGCCACATTAAGTCCATTACAGCTCAGCCTATTAAGTAGCAGGATAAGTGTAATACTAGAGGAGTATAAAGGCAGACCAGGCACAGGGGTGGAAGTGAGCAACGTGGCTTGGGGGGGAGGCAGCCCTCACAGAGGAAGCAAGGCTGAGATTTTGGAAGACTTCCCTAACAGCTCCTCGGCCCAAGGAGAGGCCACATCTACACAGATCAGCCCCCACAGGGTTTACCCAGCAGCAATTTGTTAAGACTCTACTGAGTGTCAGGCTCTTTATCCAGGGAGGAGGAAGGCAGTGAAAGAGTCAGCCATGAAGTAAACAATGTTCCCTTCCCAGAAGCGCTGACACACACCACTGTGGGCCTAGTGATAAAGGCTCATCCTCCACGCAAAAGTGTTATCACGGGATTGTAAGCAGGAGCTCAAGTGCGTTCAAGTCTCACATTTTAGAAGTGCTAGGTTTCTTTCCTGACTTTGGGCCAATGTTTAGTTCATTTTAAAAGCTCCACTCTTAGTCCTGCCTTACTCTCTTTCCACCTTCCCACAGCTAAGCTTTGACAATAGGTTCCCCTGGCCGCCTCTGCTTCCTGACCTCAGCCACTCTCCAACCTGCAGCAAACAGGCTTCCCCCTCTCACTTCCACCAGAACTGGGCTAGCAAATTGGATGGCATCACCGACTCAATGGACAAGAGTCTGAACAAACTGGGAGATAGTGAGGGACAGGGAAGCCTGGTGTGCTACAGTCCACGGGGTCGAAAAGAGTCAGACATGACTTAGTGACTGAACTGAACTGAACTGAGCTGGGTACATCAACTGAGTTCCAAATTTCACAGGCTAAATTTCTCCTGTTCACTTTCTGCTCATCCATCAGAATTCTCAGTTTCAGTTCTTTGTGACCCCATGGACTATACAGTTCATGGAATTCTCCAGGCCGGAATACTGGAGTGGGTAGCCATTCCCTTCTCCAGGGGATCTTCCCAACCCAGGGATGGAACCCAGGTTTCCCACACTGCAGGCAGATTCTTCCCCAGCTGAGCCACCAGGGAAGCCCAAGAATCCTGGAGTGGGGAGCCCATCCCTTTTCCAGGGGATCTTCCCAACCCAGGAGTCGAACCAGGGTCTGTGCATTGCAGGCAGACTCTTTACCAGCTGAGTTACGAGGGAAGCCTCAGTTCATAACGCTCCAAAACAAAAACTCAAGTGTTTTTTCTGGTCCTCTGTATGCATTAATCACCAAATCACACCAACTTCATTGCTATTTTCCCCACAGGCTCTATTACTCCCTTCTATCTGTATCCTCATCTAGACGCTCATCGTCTTTACTTGGATCAGTGCATTAGCTTTCCAAACTGTGTCTCTGCCCCACAATCATGGTGCACCTTTAAGCTATCAGTTCCTCTCCAGAGAAATAAAGACAGGGGGATCCTGGAACAGAAGCAGCAAACGGTTACAAGACTACAACTGTGAATTTATGGATTTTTAACCCAACAGCTCTGAAGCCAGATTAAAACTGTAATGGTCTGAACTGGGTATGAGCAGAGAGGTGGGGGTGGGGAGTGGAAGACAGAAGAAAGAAGAAATCAGTGTAAAATTTAGATTAACTGAAGAGAGTTCCTTCTTAAGACCCCTTCAAAAGTCCTCTGCGTAGCTAAGTATTGTATTAATACTTCCATGAACTCTAAAGAGAATGGGTGCTAATGCTCCTTAACTTCCACAATAAAAACTTTTTCAGAGTCTAGATAAGAGTAGTATCGTGTCTATTTAGGACTGTATAATTGAAATCAGCTTCTCCAGGGCTTCTTCTAAACAATGACTCATGTTGTTTTAGCTGGTGTTGACTCACTGCCCCACAAAGGGTGACACAGCTCTAAACAAGCAGAGCGCGGCCTGCTTTTTCCAATTACCAGCTTCCAGCAACTGAAGAGGGGGGAGTCCTCTGGCATGGGGCTTTCTGCAACTAAGCACAATTTTGATTTTACCAAAAGACTTGCCAAGTGGACCTTGTAATCACTGAGCTTTCTAAGTGAGGAGGAGAGAAGTGAAGTCGTGGTATGTTAAAAATCACAGGGGCCAGGCATCATCTGTTCTTTCAAAACAGAATCTGCGGAAACTTAACAGTCAGCGCTTTTCCCATTTAATTGCCTGCTCAACTGAGGTCAGCAAATGTTTTTCTTTAAGATGCCAATGAAAAGTCACAGCGAGTGTGTTTTCGAGACTCTCCAAGTTACGTCTGGTGAGATAACGAGTGTGGGGAGTCGTAATAGTGTTTGAAAGGAAACTAAGGGAAGGTCGCTCTCATGACGGTCACCACCTTTTCTCCAGTTCTGGACATTTAATGGTTTCCCATCAGGTCTCCGGTTTCCCCCGCCTCCTTGTTTTCCTTGCTGTTGGCCTGACTGCTCCCAGAACACATTTGTCCACGCCTTGGGCCAGCGTAGGTGCCGCAGTAATGCGAGTGGGTGACCAGGGGTCGGCAGGACGAACTCAGAGCCCTGACGCATTCCGCAAGGCCCTTTTCCATTCTTTGCTTCCCAGCTGAACCACAGAGATTAGTCCTCACTCATTACTTTTTTTTTCATGATGCTCAGTGCCTATTAGTAATATACTCTGAACAACTCGGCTAGTTAAAAATAGAGAACACTTCTAAAGACATGGCAGTTGGCAGAGAAGCCCAGACCACACTGTTTATGTGTAACTAAAATGACCGTCCAGTCTTTAATAGTTCCAGTGTTCCAAAAAACAAAGCTGATCAAAATGAATACCCTGGGAAATGAACACAAGTGCCTGGAGGCCACTCTGTGGACTCTGACCTCTCCAGAAGATTCGAGTCCAGACTGCAATGGGCCCTGGGTTTGTTTTCTAAACAGAAATCCTTGAAGCCCAATTTCGGTTCAGCATCATCCGTGGCTCCAAGGTCACTGAGGGACAAGGACTGTGCTCACGCAGACAGGAGACCAGGGATGGCCCGGAGTCCAGACTGGACTGCACAATCTAGCTGAACTTATCCTAAGTTTCCAAGCAACATGTAGAACAGAACTGGTCGGCACAAAGGCATGGTCCAGGAGCTGCTTCTCCCTTGGTTGGTTTCAGAATCAAGATAAAGTGAAAATCTGACTAAATATTTCTGTTCAGTTCAGTCGCTCAGTCGTGTCCAACTCTTTGCGACCCCATGAACCACAGCTAAATATCAGGAGAGACAAAAGGAAAACCCCGTTAATTCTCATGGAGCCTTGTTTCTTGACCTGCGTTAAGAACGGCTATGTTATAGATCACATGGAAAGAACAAAATGAAAAATATGTTCAGCCATAGAAATCTGTCTTAGTAGTTAGAGAAAACAACTGATAAAACTAAAATGAAAAAATTCTAAGAACATGAACCTACAGGTTAAAGGATTAAAAAATGCCTTCCCTTCCTTCTGCCTAAAAAAAGAGCCCTGGGAATATCTCCTATAACTCAAAATTGCTTGGATCTCACTTCCATGGTCAAGCTAAATGACTTCTATAACACATCTTGTCCATTTTTAAAATACTGTTACTGAAATAAGACTGCAAGAGGGCAAGAATATAGCTTTAACATTTTTATTAAATCAACACTAAGCATAATATCTACTGTGGGAGAGTTACTATTGCTGATTGCTAAGTGGGGATATGATAATGCTGTCCCTGCTCTCAATAAACCTATAACCAAACTGCAGCAGAAAAACACTAAATCCATAATATACGAAATAATGTTTCAAGATTTAAATAACAGGTTATAAGCACCAGTTTCGGAAAGATGGTCATCACCTTGCTATGTGATCTTGGGCTGATTCTCTGTGCCTCAGCTTCCTCCTACGTCAATGGACTGTGGGAAGGATTAAATGAAATGGTGCATGCCAAGCTCAGTAAGCTATCAATAAAATGAAAACTTAAAAAAGAAAAAAAGAATTGATACCACAGGACAGCATGTGATGAATTACCAAATGATTATTATTGTTATGGTAGGTGAAAACTCTTCTGGTTACTACTGTCAAGGAAATCTTCAGAAAGGAAGTTTAGTCCTTACTTCTTTAACTACATTTATCCTCTTCTGTTTTGCTTTATATCCCCAGCCACTTAAATATGGGTTCAGTCCCAACTGCTGACCTGTTAACTTTAGCTACTCTGTGATTTTTTTCAGTCTGGTAATGAAGGCGGGGCAAAGTGGGAAGGAAAGAGATCAAACATCATATTATTAGTTAAAATGGCATTTTAGTAAGTTTAACCTTTTGTTCTAAACACCTGTCAGGTTTCTCTATAGCTCTATAAAAATATAAATCTGTTGATAGGTCTTTGTATAAAGACAAATGCATGTCCATTGTTTTCTAAACACTGAACAGGAAACTTCGAAGGAATTCATCTCCTTATACATTACAGAGTTACAAGAGCAAATCTGGTCCACTGAACAGAAAATTTAACAAAGGAATAAAGATTTCTCTCTTATACATAAAAGATATACAACTTAGAATGACTAAGACAGTACACATAGATCTCAGGTGTCGGACAATTTAAAACTACTACATACTCCTCTCTCTGGTTTCCAGTTCCTCCTTCTGCTTCCTGTCCTTGGTATTACGTGTTTGTGTGCAGTCATCATCTATCTGTCAAAGGGATCAGAAATGGAATGCACAGGTTTAATCCGTTATTAAGAGCAACACAAGACACCACAGCTGGTTCTCAACTTGACATGAGTATATGTCCTCCCACACTTGGAATTACTTGGCACTGAATGTCAAATGGACAGTTTTATCTGTAATATTCATTTACTGAAGACTGATGTAAAACATCTGATACTCAAAGAATATGTCATAAACTGCGAATGTTTAGGAAAATGATATTTAATAAAAACAATCCACTATTTTCTTTAGTTTCCACTCTAGTAGAAGTTTTCTGACACAATGTTAATATTTTGATGCACATCCGCTAATATTCTCAGAACAATGGATGCATGGGATTCCATGTTATAAAGGACAGAACATTATACGAAACTCACTAACTCAAGTAACCAGAACACAGCAAAATACTGAACGAAAACAAGAAAACCAAAAAATTCTCAAAGAAATGGAAATAAATGCTATCAAGATCTTTCCTTAGGTTATACATTTTAGTCGTTTGAACAGCATCTTCTTTACACAGTTCTAACCAGCTTGACTATCTAATCAAAAGTAAATCATGAAACATGTTAAAAATAGCAATATTAGAAAGAACAAAAGTACTCTAAAGGCTTTAAGATCTGTCTGAAAATAAAGAAAAAAACAGCAACAATAAATAGTATTTAAATTAAATTACATAAGCTATAAAACAATACACCAATATAGGCTATTTACTTTTTTTATCCTTTAACTTCATATTGGAGTACAGTCAGCTAACAATGTTGTGATAGCTTCAAATGCACATCAATGCAACTCTAGGCTATTCACTTTTAAAGCAAACAACTTCCACATCAGTCAGTGACTATACTATAGCACTGTAATTCTCGGCTTAATGGTGACAGTCATTTAGGAAAAGTTCTTTTCTGCACTATTTGAAGATACATTTGACTCATTATTTTCATCCAAAGAGACTCAAAAACAAAACAGTCTATTGTTTAAATGGGTAAACTTTATTGCCAAAATTTTCTTCTGAGAAACATTTTATTCTCTTCCATTGCTTTTCTATAGACCATTTTACTTCTATTCTTGGCTAGAACTGGTATCAAGAGACCACAGATTGAGAAAACAGAATGGAAATGATTTCGGAAGTGAAATATCTTGGTTGAAGGATGAACTGAGAAGAAATTTTTATTATATGAAAACTAGAATGTTTATTTTCGTTGTGACACATCTGCAAACATTCAAGTGACATCTCAGGACACTGCTAAGGGGAGAAGATTCCCATCAGAGCATCCTCGGTAGCAAGTCAAAGTGGACGCGAATACCCACTCTCTCCGAACACAGCATTTACTTCAGCAACTTTGCTTCAGTCGTGTCTGACTCTTTGTGATCCCGTGGACTGAAGCCTGCCAGGCTCCTCCGTCCATTGGATTCTCCAGGCAAGAATACTGAAGTGGGTTGCCACGTCCTCCTCCAAGGGATCTTCCTGACCCAGGGATCAAACCCACATCTCACATCTCCTGCATTGGCAGGAAGGTTCTTTACCACTAGCACCACCTGGGAAGCCTCTTTTATACTAACCATGGAATAAAATTTTGCTTCCAGAAAACAATGTACTTTGAAAATTAGGAAATTTATCATTATAGGTTTCATAAACTCAAACCAGGTAAAACTAACCCTTTTTATTGTATGCTGTAGCAAAGCTGAAAAAAAAAGTAGGTTAAAATATATTGGTTGACTTTTTAAGGGCAAAAACGGCACCTATAATAAGATTAGAGAGAATACTGAATGTATATTTTATAGTTTGTAAAATAAATCAAATGTAGAAGGAATGAGAAAAATAGAAAATCATTAGAACATCACTGTAATAAATGTTACTGGGAAGATCCAGATATGGACATGAAAACCAGAGGAAGAAAGTTTGAGGAGTAATAGGATGTTAGCACCGTCAAAAATTCTCCCAAGATACTGATTAATTTATATAGGGAAACCTGGGAGAGAACACTTAACAAGGTGATAGAGCTAACACCGACAAGACGGTGATATCATGAACCCCCAAAATGAGGCACTGAGAAAGGTCTGACATCATTCAGTGGAATTCTCACCCAAAATGCGTAATTTCTATCCAATCAAGAGAAGACATAAGACCAATCCTAACTGCGGGACTGCCTACGACAACCAACTGGTCCTCCTAAAGTGCCAAGGTCACAAAAGACAACAGGCTGTAGTGGATTATGCAGGAGGTTTGGGCGTCATGACTAAGTGCAATACAGGATCCCAGATTCAATCCTACAACAGAAAAATCCCAATTCTAGTGGAAAATACTTGTGGAATCAGAATAAAATCTATAGTTTAGTTACTAGTACTGTTGTTGTTTAGTCACTCAGTCATGTCCAACTCTTTTCGACGCCATGGACTGTAGCCCGCCAAGCTCCTCTGTCCATGGGATTTCCCAGGCAAGAATACTGGAGTGGGTTGCCATTTCCTTCTCCAGGGGATCTTCCTGACCCAGAGAGTAAACACAAGTCTCCTGAACTGGCAGGCGGTTCCTCACCGCTGAGTCATCTGAGAAACCCAATAGTACTGCAGCAAAGTTAATTTTTTGGTTTTCATAATGGAACACAGTTCTGCAAGTTGTTAATCTTAGGGGAAGTTGGAAAATGTTACATGGGGACTTTCTGTACCACTTCTGCAAATTTTCTGTAAGTCTCAAGTTATGTCAAAACTAAGGGACAGTTCTAATGAGATGGATAAAACTGGAGTCTACTATACAGAGTGAGGTAAGTTAGAAAGTGAAACACCAATACAGTATATTAACACATATATATGGAATTTAGAAAGAAGGTAACGACTACCCTATATGCAAGACAGCAAAAGAGACACAGATGTAAAGAACAGTCTTTTGGACTCTGTGGGAGAAGGTGAGGGTGGGATTATTTGGGAGACTAGTACTGATATTCTCATATGGTAATGTATATTACCATATGCAAAACAGATGACCAGTGCAAGTTCCGTGCATGAAGCGGGGCACTCAAAGCCAGAGCTCTGGGACAGCCTAGAGCGATGGGTTGGGGAGGGAGGTGGGAGGGGGGTTCACGATGACAGGACACATGTACATTTGTGGCGGATTCATGTCGACGGATGGCAAAACCACCACAATATTGTAAAGTAATTAGCCTCCAATTAAAATAAATTAATTAATCTTTAAAAAATTAAAATAAAAAAAAGGGTTAAGGGAAAGTTAGCATCTTCATCCACAGGAAAATGATTCTACAACACTCTAAGTTCCCTGAATTTGTCCAGATACATTGAGGATGAATGATCAGGGAGAACAGAGCAGGATAAAAATGGACTGAGCAACTGGCAAAATATTTAGCCAAATGACATGATCAAAGGAAATGTGCCAGATGTTTTCCAACAGCTCTACACATGGAGACACCTACAATCAGCAAGGACCCCGCTGTAAAAAGAAACCAGAGACACCCACGCCAGTTTCAACTATCACATGAGGAATGATCTCTAAATACCTTATTCTCTCCTAAGAAGTCTAGTTCCATTATTCTTTCTGAATCCTCTAGAAAATTATACCTACTAGGCTCCAGAATTTGCTGTACCTGTGTATATGTTTGTAAGCTCACACAGACCTACATTAACACTTACTGAATGAGAGTTGGCACCTTGAAATAAATGTCTTTTTATAATTAAATAATTTCTTTCCAAGAAAGTCGCCATAAATATGTCACAAAAAGTGGTTAGTTTTAGTCTTCTCCACAAATAAAATATTTACTCTCTATTCATCACTAATTCCAATTTAATCAAATCATCCCCATTAGGATGAACAGTTATGCTACTAGGAAACAATATGCCCTGGACAAAAGTTTTAACATTGCTGTAGAATTAGAATTCCTAGGATAACCTCGGAGAGCTTCTCTATTTGTTTTTGAGGAACAGCTGGCTCTTTTTCCTAGTCTATTTTTGTCCTCTTTCAGGAAGTTTATGGTATCTTTGGAAAAACATCAGAAATACTCATGGTCATTTAAACTGTACCTTCACCAAAAAATGTTGTATATGTTATTTGCATATAATTTAGGAAATCTTTGAAAAACAAAATATCTACCTTTACCTTCAGCTACTTTTCATTTTCTAAGTGAAATCTTTTTGAACATACATTTCACTCTCAATTCTGAATAAAGGTCTAGGAACTGAGCTTCCTAAAAATCACATGATTCTAAGGACAATTCCAACCATCTGTTTTAACAGAACTGAGAATTTTTAACCCTTCATTCTCTTTTGTCCTTACAACAGAATGTAAATATAGATGTTTGTGAAATAAGGAATTGCTTTTTCTCTCCCAACAAATGCTTAGTACTTGAGTCTCTCCTGCATGAGTAAGTATGGGAGATAGGTATCAAAAACATTTTACTCCTCTTGACATCAACAACTGTGATTAAAAGTGGTAACAGTAATAAAACAGCTAACAATTATCAATCAGTTGCTTCCTTTGTGTCAGACATGAGTCTAAGTAGCTGAAGCAGGCTCCCCAAGGTCACATGGTGGGAAATGGTGTAAGTGATGAACACAGTCTGGCAGTCTGACCCCAAGCCTGAGTAACTGGCAAGTGTACTTTATACTGGATACTTTAATAAAACGGGCAGGCCCCAAAAGAAATTACAGTGGTCACCCATCTTTAGTGTTGAAGAGTAACAGGGAGAGGTGTGAAATGGAGAAGCCACTACTCAGCTTCAGCCTGTGGAGGCCTGAGTTGTTGGATCCTTTGGGGTTTTTTTAATGGGAAATGGAAGTTCATATCTGAAGCCTCTTGATTTTGAAATGTTGCCACTTATTTGCAGCTTTTTCCTAAAAATCCTACTGGTCTGAAAGGTACAGGGCTACATTCTCAGTTCAGTTCAGTTCAGTCACTCAGTCGTGTCCAACTCTTTGCGACCCCATGAACCGTAGCACGCCAGGCCTCCCTGTCCATCATTCTCAAGGCAGGCTCTTTCATTTCA